AGTGCGATAACGTCATATGAACGCGGGCTTTTCCTTTAAGCCTTGGAATTATCTAAGGTTATTGAGTACTGTGAGATTCTGTCAGCAAGTCGTATTATGAGCAGGCTGATAAAGGAGTCATGTGGAGTGACAAGTCCGATATTTTAATTTTGTAGTATCGGAATTGAGTTTGATTTGTCTGTGTAGCATTAAGCTGCGTTCATACCTTGCGGCAGTGTCCACCAGCGTCCAGGAGAGTTGGCGTCTGCGCACCACACACAACATGCAGAGTATGTCCCATTGGGAAAATTTTGCTGGAATCGACCCACAAATTTTTCCCTGTGGTGTGACCTCCCTTCGCGACCATCCAAACACCAGTCGTTCATGAAAATTCTTCGTCTTGAGGTAGGGACTGAGGGCGCATGAAATGAGAAAAAACAACAAGCAGAGGACTTTTCCCAGGCCAGAAGCGATTCCACATATTACGGCGGCGGCCAAATACACCCCCTCCCCCTTCCCTCCGCTTGGGAATTATTAGCGTACGACGTGGGAGTGTTTCTGTTGGGTTATCCGCGAAAGAAAAGGTAACCGTCTTTAAGAAATGTAAAACGTGTCATTCCTCAGAGTTCGGGGTCAGTAATTTGGGGGGGGGATATCTGCTAACAGCGGAGCCTCTCCCTTTTTTCTTCCTCCTTCCATCTTTTCTTCGAAACAGCGGAGCCTCTCCCTTTTTTCTTCCTCCTTCCATCTTTTCTTCGAATCGAGTGCTTGGCCAGAGGATGCAATAAGAAAGTACCCCTGGATCCTCGTAGCGAGAGAACTTCCGATTGACAGAAGACCTGTGACCTTATCCAGAGTTGTGAGGACAGCGTTTGTATTGCGTGTTGTTGAGCAAATGACACGAGGTCTTATTACAGCATGACTCTTTTCTTGCTTATTGCACTTGTGATTGAAGTAGTGTTTAACCGCTTGGCCTTGTACTAGACCCTGCCCCTACTGCGTCATTCTTACTATCGAAAGTACATCTTGACAAGATGTGATCTGTGGGTTTCCGTCAAAACTGTTTTCCTTTCGACGTTTATAAGCATGACTAACATCCTGCCGTTTTGATATTCAATGGCTAACAAAGCGCACACCATCTTGGTGCTACTTGACAAACATTCTTTCGACTACAAATAGAGTGGTCAGCATTGCTTAGCTTGGGGCTTAGAACGAGTAACTGTCGCCATATGTAGTTCTCGCGTGATTCAGCACTAAGGCGTATCTCAAGTGAATTGATGAGCGTCAGACTATTGCAATCATGATCGCGACATGTCGCTCCAGACGACTCCTTTCAAATGTCAGTCTCAAACTAACTTCTATTGCGTTCTACAGGTCGCCATGGTTCAATCAAAGCTTTCCAAGTTAACAGCAATCATATAATTCAGGTTTTGTTGGTCGTGTGTCAAAATCTAATTCATAGGTACTCCAATGCGCTTCGGAAGGCATCTCCAGTACAGGAGTGGAGTTAAATGGGATCCTTGTGGCTTACTCGAAATACCGTGCTGCTAGAGATGGACTCAGACGAAAGGCGAAATTCCACAGAATGGATATTTTCAAAACCCAATTAGAGCCATTCAACACAGCCGTTATATTCGGAGCAGAGAATTTGGTTGGTATTTTTTACTGCACTTTATTTTTTTGTTTGGGGAGTCTTATTCACCATGTAAATTTAGAGCACATTGGGAACGTCTACCCAGCTAGAGTTGCCACTGTTTTCGTTGACTTACATGAATTCGGTTCCAATTCTGGTTTCAAATGTGGTGTGCCTTTATAATAGCGATGTGTCCACTTTCAAAATGAGAATTTCGCTGCGAATGCTCGAGTCGGTTAATTCAAGAGCTCATATAATTCGTGGGTGCCCTTCCTTGTACAGTAGTCTAGTCCTCAATCTCTGAGTTTGTCCCACTTTCGCTGTTTCACAGTAATAACGAAGGCGCTACGGCTCTCATAAGTGGCGTTTTCCTATTTGCCCCACCAACCAAAACTCGAAGATTATTTTTTGTTACTAGTTCTTTTTTTACATTGCGTTTTTCATTGTCACTGTTAGATGGTGTTAGCATTGGAGAAACGACTAGTGAGCTGAAGAAAGCAGGATATCTCTTTGCTGGCATAGAACGAGTAGGACCGAAAACTCTTTTTTCAGGGTGTTCTCCATGATTTCCTTTTGCTTTTTTCTTCCCTAGATTCACGGCTATATGTTTGTGATTGAAGCCACCATCACTGATATGGAATGGCGTGGTTTATCTATAAGGGATTCCCCTAAAAACTGGTAGTGCCGTAACGTAGATAAAGATTCTTACCCATGAATAGAAGGGAAAGAGCACCGAGATATGTGAATAAACGTAGAAAAGAGGTTCCGCGTTAAGGTTATCTCAGTCTTGCGCAAGCAGTCCTCTGAATATGCTTTCTCTTTAGCGACTTGCCTTTCGGAGCAGTAATTACGAGGGTTTGGCATCCGCTTCCAATAGGCCTTATCTTTTCAGAGAGTAGCTATATCCTCCCTAATCGTTGTGCCACTCCCATTAGCGAGGGCCATATTTGACATTGAGGGGGGGGGAGATGGTGGTCACTGGCTTTGAGAGAAATTTTTTTGATTATTGATTCTTGCCGTTTCACGCACGCTATATATAACATCCTACGGGTCGCATGTGTCTAACACACCCCCGAATCGGTCCAAAATTGCGGGAAAATTTGGTGAGTAGGTAGGTTGTGGAAGTAGTTTGTGCCGAGGCTTCCCTTCTAAGGGCAGGGTCACACTATTATTATCGGGACGCCAGTAATATCCAACCGATGACGTGCTCTGCCAACCAAACGAGTTCGATTGGAGTTGTTCCTTTCTGAAACGATGTAGCACTTTATAAGCCATGTTTCCCATGATTGTGGCGCGGTGCATCGAGCCATTGAGTCACCTGGAAGCTCCTTCGTATTAGCGTGGATGTGTAATTACTGACAATCATACAAATATACTCACATACTTCTAACTCGTTCTATTGCGATGACTGCTGTCTAATGTCCTGATGGCTTTTATGCTATCCAAGAGCAGCTCTCTACTCACCTCTGTGGATCTTGGTCCTTACCGTGTTTGGGGAAAATGGGTCTTCATCTGCAGTAGCGTAGCGTTTTCTCCACCTGAAAGTTCACGGGAAAGCGGCTGGAGGGTAGTTCACACCGGCGCCGACTACATACTCCGCCTCGTGATGCCACACGGCCAGCAACATGCCTAGCCATAGCCTGTCGGGCTATTTGTCTGCGCCGTCATTGCCGGATCTTGGCAGCGCTGCAGCTTGAAGATAGCGCAGGTATAGTATGGATCTGTGATCGGGTACCACCACCCTACAGCTCCGCTTCCGTGCTCTTTATGCCAAGGAAGTAGCGCGCTACTTACGCGCTGCAGCTGCGAACCCATTTGCCTCGCACAGTGTAAGGACCATCCTCGGAGATAAGTGTACAGTTTATTTTTTGAGGCTCTCGTTTTTGTGATATTGTTATTAGAACGATGATTTGATTTCAAGTGCCGATTTTTATCTCAGATGACCGATATGGTACCGAAGCTCAGTGAGATGAGATCTGGCACATCGCTGCTGGCCTGTCGGTTTCCACTTCCTGAATGCGATCACTTTCAACCAGTTGCTCAGATTGGTGAAGGAATCGACGCAGTTTACGTATATAGGAGGACTTAGTTGTAGCCAGTAGATATTGTTGTTAGGTTCCACTTTGATGTTGAAAGTTGTTGGTGATGTTATAAATATGTGGAAAGCAAGTGTTACAAAAGATTACAGTTTGGATATAAACCTCAGATATTCTGCTCTCGTGAAGTATTTTTCAAGTTCTATTTTACGAGTGTCTCACGAAGGACATACTTGCTAGCTCAGAGCTAGAACAACGATAATATAGTGGTATGCGAACATTGCTCTCCGTTGTAACCCGCTCTCTCGTATTCCAAAGAGATCGCGCT